TGGATAACGAGGTATACTATCCACACAGGTGGATAACAAGGTATACTATTCACACAGTTGGATAACGAGGTATACTATCCACACAGGTGGATAACGAGGTATACTATTCACACAGGTGGATAACGAGGTATACTATTCACACAGGTGGATAATGAGGTATACTATCCACACAGGTTGATAACAAGGTATACTATTCACACAGGTGGATAACAAAGTATACTATCCCCCTGTTACTATCCCCCTGTGTGGATAACGAGGTATACTATCCACACAGGTGGATAACAAAGTATACTATCCCCCTGTTACTATCCACCTGTGTGGATAACGAGGTATACTATTCACACAGGTGGATAACGAGGTATACTTTCCACACAGGTGGATAACAAGGTATACTATTCACAAAGGTGGATAACGAGATATACTATAGCTATCCACACAGGTGGATAACGAGGTATACCATCCACACAGGTGGATAGTGAGATATTGTGTGATTGCTAGACAAGATAGTTTAAGGTAAAGGTTAAGATCAGTCCTAGAAACAAGTTATATATGTATAATTTTATGTATTTTGTTCAGTTTGGAATATTTGTCCATGACTGGTCTTCATCGAAATAATAAGTTACCACGGTGACATGTAGGAGGGCATCAAATCATTCTTGTTACTAAAATGACGAGAGTGTCTGTTCTTCATAAAACACCAACACGATTCGTTTGCAATGTGTGTTTTGATTGGATACGGACCATGTTCTAATCTGCAATAGAATTATGATCAATCGTGTTAAGCTCTTCCCATCACACTTAAGCCACGCCCCATTTCTAACCAAAACAATATGGCGTCAAACTCGCCTCTTAGCGTAATCCCGCTGATAAGGCTAGCAGGCAACAGAACAGAAACAACCGTTGAAATGTATTTGTTGAATGAATTAAAAAGTAAAAAGTAAACATTCCTTGTTCTTACCACCATTTATTATTGAAAAGTTTTTTCCATCCGTGTGAAGGCATCTAGTTAGATCCAAAATCAAATGAAACATTTTTACATGTGTCATATGAATGTTGCACAAAACTCTTCACAAATCTGAACAAATAGTCACAATGTTTTGTCAATACGCACAGATTGGCATGCATAATGACATGGAAATGTAAGAATTTGGTCAATATTAATCCAAATATGTCATATAAACTTTGGTAACAGATTGTACATGAACAACCAAATTTTGTTTTTCTGTTAGATTAACTTTTTTAATTTTAGGTTTGAAATTAATTTCTTCCTTTTTTTTCCAGGCCTGAAGTTGGAGATTACAGAGTTGCACAGTTGAGAATCAAAAAGTTAGAGAAATTGTTGGCTATTCACAGCATCAGGTTTGTAAGACTGATACTATCATACAGTGTTGTTTTAGCATATTTCAATTTCAACATAATAGACAGTAGCAGATTCATTGAGAGCAGCAATCCTTAGATAAGATTAAGCGACTGGGGAAGTGTTATTATAGACTATAACCTGTGGCTTAGGTCTGGTACCCTAAACAACCTCACACAATAGCTACATGGACCATTTTAGAAGCATGATTACGTGTGTAACTCAAGTAATTTTTATTTCAACGTTTTGCTATATATTGATCAGTTACATTTTCTGATTCTTCAGTGTACCGGGAGAGAAACCATCTAAGGATCCGTACCGACTGAAGAAGTCCTACAGCACGAAAATGGAAGATGTGGAGTATCTGCCTCTCGATATCTGTCGCAATTACCTCAGGGTAAGAACTCGCCTAATTATGTCTCCCCTTCGAATGACCGATTCCTATCTTTTACGTAGCATGTGTATGACTGGTGGCCGGTTCCTATCTGTTATGTAGTATGTGTACGACTGGTGGCCGGTTCCTATCTCTTATGTAGTATGTGTACGACTGGTGGCCGATTCCTATCTCTTATGTAGTATGTGTATCACTGGTGGCCGATTCCTATCTCTTACATAGTATGTGTATGACTGGTGGCCGATTCCTATCTGTTACATAGTATGTGTACGACTGGTGGCCGATTCCTATCTCTTATGTAGTA